CTATTTGAACCCTTCGGGGATTTTTACTGGTATCTCCTCACTATTTTGACTTTTTACTGAACTCAATCATGTTATATTTCACTATATTTTCGTACTCAGCCATGTTTACTCTGTTTTAACTCTTACATGATCTTTTAAATGATATTTTGGGCTGAGAAACATGTTTTAATACTACCGGAGTGGCTTGTGAGGATTTTTGACTGAGTAAGGCTGAGGGCCTATGTTGTGAGGAAACATTTGATACTGATTATGAGGTTGAAGGCCTGAGATATGTAAGTCACGAGGTGGCTTGATTGATATGAGGCCGAGGGCCAAGTGATGATGCCACGATGTGGCTTGATATTGCGTTTGGTCCGTAAGGGGCCCCTCCAGGGGTCTGTACACCCCCAGTGAGCGCGGGTACCCATTGTGATGTGAGATTGAGTCCGAGGGGCTGGTATTGTTCTATGTGATGGCCCGAGGGACTGGTACTGTTCTGAGATGTTGCCCGAGGGGCGGATTTGTTGATATTGTGTCTGAGGGGCGAACTTCTATTTGTTTACTTTACCTTAGCTATCTGTAAATTACCTGTTTACTTGTTGAAAAAGGATTGTTACTTAATTGTTCACTAATTTACTGTTTTTAAATGGTTTTACTGCTTCATTATAGAATGCCTTGTGCCTTGCGTGTTTTCTTACTTTCAGTCGTTATTTACATTTGTTACTCATTGAGTTGGAGTATTCACTTTACTCCCTACACCCTGTGTGTAGATTCAGGCGTAGCTCGTTCCGCTCCCGAGTGCTGATCCCTCCAGCTTCAGGTGGACATTTGGAGTTCACGAGGTAGTTGTTGGCGCCCGCAGCCCCGTGTCTCTACTCCTTTATAACTTCTATCTCTTTTCAGATAGTTGTACTAGTTTATTAACTTAGCGGATTTGTATTATGACTTTTAGATACTCATGACTAGTGACACCACGGTATCAGACTGTGTTGGGTTGTTCTTCCGTGTATTTATGACATTATCTGCTACTTTGGATTATTTTGTCATGTTTCGACTGTTTCTTAATGCTTAACTATTAATAATTGGAAAAAAGGAAAGTGTCGGTTGGCCTTGTCTTCACGAGAGGCGACATCACGACCGAGTCTGGGTTTGGGTCATGACAGACAGTACTCTGTAATGTTATTTTGTTTAGTAGTTACTCCCTTCGTTCAAGTTTATGTGATTTGGCCCGTTCCAAAAAGAATGACCCTTTTCTAAATTTGAAAATAATTTAGCTTAAACTTACAATTATACCCTTAATGAAAAGCTTTTATAACCACACAAATATTCTAGACCCCTTTTGGAGTTGTTTAGGACCACAAATTTCAAAAGTCTTTCATTTTTTCTTAAATACATAAATTGGAACGGAGATAGTACATAAATATCCACTCTTTTAACCCAAAAAAAACTAATTCCGTTGGCTATACATTTATTAATTACCAGCTTGTTATGAAACAATAAAAGAAGAAGAAAAATATTGCAGAGAAAAGTAGGGAGAGAGAATTCTTATTGATTTGGATGAATTACAATGGAATATAACCCTCTATTTATAGGGAAAGAGTGACTTAGCCACCAAGTAACAATCCCTAGAATCTCTCTAAATATAGACATTCACCATAAATAAAATTCTATTTATAACACTCCCCCTTGAATGTCTATTCAACGGATAATGTGCCTCGTTAAAACCTTAACTAAATAAAACCCAATGGGAACAAAAATCTGGAGAAGGAAAAATAGTACACATATCTAATAATACATCTTTTGGTTGCCTCATTAAAAACCTTGCAAGGAAAACCCAGTGGGACAAAATCTTGTAAGGGAAAAAGAGTACAATGCAATTAACTCCCCCTAATGAGAGCATCAATTCACATCCTTGAGCCTTCACATTCCAATCTTGTGCACCATCTTCAAAAGATCGTTGGTAGAGATTTGATAATCAAATCTACCATATTAACGTGAATGAATATGTTGAACCTTGAAATCATCATTCTTGATAGAGATGAATTGTCTTCATATGATCTTGTTGGAATCGTCATTTCAATATCATCACATAGGGCAAAAACTCTTGCTATCATATTATCATGCGTGTAAATAAAGCAAGATACATTTGTGTACAAATTGCACTAAAGATGTGGTACTTCAAGATCAAGAATTGTATATGCTTTAAGCAATTTAAATTCTTCAAGGATTGTCATATAAGTCATATAATAGACTTTAATTAGATGCATATCAAGTTTTCATGTCATGCTAGACAAATAAGATATCGAAAACTGATTGCACATATCATTGACTTTATACTTTCAAGTGTTTGAACTACATGTCATTCATATTAAACCAATTCTATTTGAATTGTGTATCGTCTATTTGACCAATATTTTTGTGTCTGTCTCAACAGCCTTAAGATCCTCATCTATACTTAGCGCTATGATAGATGTCGTCGACGAACATTTTATATCGGTTCCAATAATTTTTCATAAAGACATAACATAGATATCTCTTCATTCATATATTCAGGTACATGAATCTCTCATGAGATTTTATGAAGTGTTATGTCAAGTGATCTTTTAGATTACTTGCCTCCTTATTATGATCAGTTTGATCATTTGCTCACCTTCTTTATCAAGAAGTTTTATTTGAAACCGATTGTCTATATGCTTTAAGCGTACCATAGACTTTGTCCTTCTAGGACTTAATATGAGCATTTGCAATGAGAATATAGTTACTTTCTTTAGGTCATCAAATGCGTATGACATGCTTTGCAATATATTGCAAACGAATTATCTTTTTATGAACTTCAAGTTCATATTATCGTATTCGAGGATCTATATATACAAATAATAATTCATTCCACGTAACTTTTTCTCAATTGTTTATCATGTCTCCCCCTCATGTTAGAAAAACTAACTTGTTTCCTCAACTTTGAGAATCCACCTTGGTGCGTTATAGTGATAATCAAAATGTACACCGCACATTAATAATAATAAGATGGAATTATTTGGTTCTTGACCCTGAATCACTTGTAAGGGGAGAATGTCATATACTTTCGTATATAACATATATCAAGCTGATATAGATAACTTTATTTTCATAAGCAATAGTTTAGCTATTAAGTGGATGCACTCAATAAATTATTTTGCTAAACCAGCTGTGTTGTAAACCAACTTATCAAGATGAACTTCTTGAATAGAAAATCTGGAAATTATGCTCGAAATTAAATTATTGAGCAAGTTACCTCGCAAAATACTATGTTGCGGGTTAATAATAATTGCACATATAACCATCTCATAGATGCATCTTATGTGGTATACATGGCAGGTGAATGTGCCCATATTCACCTTTGATATTTTCAGCATTCATGGGATTCAATCCCAATTTTAGTTGGTCAACTAACTAATGAGAACAAGCAATATAAGAGAATTCGTAAAGAACTTTCTAGTTCTTTAATATTTACCCATGTGAATTCTCTATTATTTTTGCACATCATACTTAAATTGATATGACTAAACTGATTATGCTAACTGAATAAATTATCAATATTGATAAAGTTCAGGTTTACACCATGACATGTGCAATTATTAATAAACTTTAAGTTTATTATGATATGGGTTTTTATATCTATAAAGTTCTACTTTATTGCGGCATTCTTTTGTTTGTGTAGTACAAACTGGAGAATAAAGCGAGTAACTTTTCACATACATATTATCCCCCTACAAGTTATAGTAATAGAAGATATTAAATCTTTCCTTTATTTATAGTTTCAATATAATCAACCGCTTTCGCGTATATTTTGGAAACTGAATAAGTTTCTTTGAGACTTACAACAACAACAACAACAACAACAACAACATATTGGTAATCAATTGTGTTTCTCCAAAATAGTATAATTGGCTCTTCTAGAGCTCTTAATTAATTTGGTACTACCACATATTCATCAACATCCATATGGTGAATATATCATTATGGTTATGGTCAAAATTATATGCAAGATATGTTTCTTGCATTAACGCTATTCTTTAATAATCACATTACCAAAATATTTTGGCGTGCAATAGGTACGTGACCAATGACCATTCATGCCATAATAATAATATTATTATTTCATATCATCTCAAACCTCCTCCTAGAGGTGAGTGTGGTATATTCACTACCACTAGCATGTTCATATTTTTCCAAAATGAATATGTATTCATAAATCAGATGTTGTCACATTCACATCATGAATGGACCATAATCATCTATATGTGTTTTATAAAATCTCATGTCAAATCGATAACAAATATTATCACAGAGCGAAGGATTATTTTGAGAATCCTTATTATTCTCATTATCATAATGATGACGATTATAATTTCGTCTATTGCCACGTCCACATCCATTGATACCTTCACGGTAATAATTTTGTCTTCTTTCAGACTTATCACATATTGCTATCACATTCTCTTAAGGGGATGAGAATGAAGCAAATTCAATGGGACGAGTTTTCACTTTTTGTGCTCACGATCATACATGACTTTGATCATGACAAGATATAGAAATTTTACCACTTTGGGTGGTTATAATTTCTTTCAAACTCATTATAGTTACAATCAAAATTTATCGTCTTCGTTTGTATTTAAAATCAAATTGTAGAATGTCAATAATTTGAAAGAGAAAAGTAAAATGCTTACCTTAAATCCAGAATTTAATCATGGAGGAAGTTCATTGAACAATTGACAATCATTATGCTCAATCCCAAAGCTTCTACTCAATTGGTTAGAGTTTCGTGCTGATAACGTGTTATGAAACAATAAAAGAAGAAGAAGAGTAGGGGGATAGAATTATTATTGATTTGGATGAATTACAATGGAATAAAACTTTCTATTTATAGGGAAAGAGTAACTTAGCCACCAAGTAATAATCCCTAGAATCTCTTTAAATATAGACATTTACCGTAAAAAATTCTATTTATAACACAACTTGTGTTTTCTTTTGTTTTTATTCCTTTTTTTTTCCTACTAATAAATGATTAGTGCTTATTATGCTGGAGGCTCTATTTTTGCCTTCCCAAACATGCTGAGATCAACGTTCACTCCTATATTCACGGCCTTTCCCTCTAAGGCCAAACACCGCAACTATTCCAACACAATTATCACTGCAATATCAAAACCCCCACAAACTGTTCGACAAAATGCCGCAGTAGAAAATACATTCCTGCAACAGCATAACCCAACGTCAGCTTACGTTCACCTCCCTTTCTGCCGAAGACGCTGTCACTACTGCGACTTCCCTATCGTCGCTCTCGGCTCATCTTCACCTCAGGCTGATGACGACCCGCGAATTCTTAACTACATTGATTTTCTCTGCAGAGAAATTAAAGCCACCCTAACACCTTCTAACCACAAGTCACCTCTCGAAACTGTATTTTTTGGTGGAGGGACACCTTCACTTGTGCCACCAAGATTAGTATCTGTAGTCCTGGACACACTGGACTCTAAATTTGGTGTGTGTTCCGATGCTGAAATTTCAATAGAAATGGACCCTGGTACATTTGATGCTGCAAAGTTGAAAGATTTGATGAAGTTGGGTGTTAATAGAGTTTCTCTAGGAGTTCAGGCATTCCAGGAGGAATTGCTTAAGAGTTGTGGGAGAGCTCATGGCGTACAGGAAATTCATGAGGCTATTGACATTGTTGGATCATGTGGTGTTGAGAATTGGAGTGTGGACCTTATATCTTCACTTCCTCATCAGAAGCCACATATGTGGGAACAAAGCTTGAGCCTCACCATTCAAGCAAAGCCTACACATGTTTCAGTTTACGATTTACAAGTTGAACAAGATACGAAGTTTGGATCTTTGTAAGTAATACAACCTTCACTTGCCAAGTTGAGATTTTTCTTCGCCAATAAATTTTTCCAATATCTCTTTTCAGCTAATTTTTTCAACTGATTTGGGATTGGAACATAGATTGGTCGATTTCTTATCCGCTAATTCGAAAAGCTGATTAAATGAGATTTTTTCCATAACTTCTACTGCAAGCAGTGAGTGCACTTACTTGTTCAACATTTGAACTGATATTGTTGTGTCCGCAGATATACAGCTGGAGAATTCCCTCTGCCTTCTGAAAATCAATCTGCTGAGTTTTACAAAATGGCCTCTGAAATGCTAAGAAATGCTGGTTATGAGCACTATGAGATAAGTAGCTACTGCAAAAGTGGTTATCAATGCAAGCACAATTATACATACTGGATAAACAAATCTTTTTACGCTTTTGGACTGGGGTCAGCCAGTTATCTTAATGGAGTAAGGTTTTCAAGGCCAAGGAAGCTGAAAGATTACATGGGTTATGTGCAAAATTTGGAGAATGGACTAGTGAATTGTTGCCAGGACAGTAAAGTAGACGCTCAAGACATAGCGACGGATGTTGTTATGCTGTCTCTGAGAACTGCTAGAGGGATAGATTTGAAGTCATTTAGCAAAGCTTTTGGAAGCTCAACTGTTCTTTCCCTTTGTGAGGTCTATAAGCCTCATATTGAGAGTGGGCATGTTGTCTGTTTGGATGAGCAGAGGAGGAAAATCGACGCAGAAGAATTCAGATCTTTGTTATCTGAAGGGGACAAGGTTAATGAGGTATTGGCATATATCAGGCTTAGTGACCCTGATGGTTTCCTGTTATCTAATGAGTTAATATCCCTCGCGTTCAATGTGTTAGCTCCATAAATTTCAGCCTTGATGGTTCAGATGAGACTGCTTGGAGCTGCCTTGTTAGCATTGCTGGCTGTTTAGGCATGAGATTGCCAATACTTGGATGCCATCGGTTGGTTTGTGCGTGGAAAATCTATAAGGACATGTGAACTGGTGGAATCCTTAATAGAGCATAGGCAGGCGTGTATGTAATATACTTAATTATTGGGAGAGAGCAGAAGGTTTTGTTAGCAAGCATACTTGATCAAAAGCAGCAGTAAATGTAACTTGGGTATATGACCCTCACTGTTTAATCAAAATCCTTTTTTTATGAGTCAAGATTTCATTCATAAATACCGCCATGGAGTCCAAAAATATGTATGAATTTTGTATATGACTTAATCCAAGTCATCCATAGTTGTCTATTACGCTTTTCTTGCTATCAATACACATGACATTCTCTCCTTACAATGGAAATACAAGTGAATGATAAAGGTTTTTAGTGTTTTCCATATCATTATCATTAGTTTGAATTGATCTATTATTTCTTCATTCCATCAAATTGAGATGCATCTTCCAGCCAATCTCCTACACAACAAGAGATGATTATTTTCCTGTACAGATTTATCTCACAGGCTTGCACCGTTGGCAAGGTTAATAGCTGTGCTGATTGGTGTCACATCGCTAATTAGGAACGTTACTGGCTCTAAAATAAAACTTCCGTTGATGTACCCCTTGTCTGTATAAGATAATAATGCAGCTTCCTGTTTGGCTCCAAAAAACAAGAAAAGAAATTAAAAGGAATACTGATTGACCACCTTGTCTTTCCATTCGCTAACACGCACTTCCACGAGCTTACCACTTCCCAGTCATAACAACACAAGTTTGTCCAAGACATCCCAAAAGCAAACTTTAGATTACACAAAGAAACATACAACATGAAGAATTCACGTTTCCCCCAATGTAAAATTGATAAAGAGAAAACTGGTCTTCCCATGAAAAGTTGAAAACTGTTGTATGGATCTGTGAGAAGTGATACAACAGAGGGTAAAGAATTTAGCTTCTGCTTCAATGAGATCGGCTTATCCAGGCAGACGACTTAAATGCCAAGATGCACTATACCATGCTGACGGAGGATATGTCTTGTCTTCTACATCAGAACTCTGATCATCCAGCAACAGTAAATGATTTGTTGCCAAGAGATGTCTACAGCAGGACAAGAAGATGCGCAATGTTAATCCATCTCCATCCCTTCATGATGTTAATGTTTCAGCTTACTACGAAATACATTTAATAAGCTGGTGTATCATTATGAGAAAGGAATCATTTCTTTCTAACATGAAGTAAACAAGATAGACAAATATCCTCACCAAAAAAAGTATCATCGCTGTTCACAGCTAAGAAGGTTTGGCTTTTCTGCCAACTTTTGTTATGCGCCTAAGTTCTTGAGTTCCCTTTTTCATTTCTCTGCAGATGAAGAAGCAATTGTTTCAATGCAAATTTTGAGGGAGACTGGGAGATGCAAAGGTTGGAGGAAGTACCTTTGGTACAAATAGACAATAAGGTAAAATAGAGGGAGCAGCATCAACGTCAACACTGAAGCTGCCAAGTAGAACCGATTTATATGCTTCTGCAAATATAACATGTCACATGCATAAGGGATGATACGATTACAAAATGCAGAGAAAAAGCCCCACTACACGCGATGCAAGCGCCTCGCAAAATTGCCAAACAGGTTTTACATCTCAGTAGTACTGTATGAAGTTATAACCTTAACTGAATGTTATGGCCTTTTCTACTCCTACAGACACAGGTATATGAATCCAAAAAAGGTAAAAAATCCATAATCCCCTGTACAACTCTTACTCTGATCTAAGAGCAAGCATGTAATTAAGGCATTCAGTAAACAAACCGTACCTTTCCTCCTCTAGAAAAGGGTTTTCTTCCCCCCGAGCAAGTGTGAGCATCACAGAATTGGCGCAAGAATAGTTCTGCCATCAAATCAACCGAAAGACCATCATAAGTGGAAGCAACTATTTAATTACTTCAGGTCCTAACACTAAGGAGAAATCTTACCATGAAGACGAGTAGATGATGGACTCTTATTAGCAGGAAAACAGCTGTCTGCAAGACCCTGCATGGAAATAGGGGGAAAACAGTGGGACATGATCAAAGAGAAATCAGTAGAATTGGCAAGTTAATCCCAATTGAAATACAAGTTTAAGTACAGAAGGTAACCTCACATAAATGACGATTTCTTGCTGCTGCCGCAGGATTACACTTGGCCTTCTTGGATTTAAATTCCATCACAAGGTCACAATGCAAAGCTCCACATACATCTGCCAGGCATTTGCTGTGACTCTGAGCCATTGAGATCATATGCTAAGATTACTTCATACCTTTTCTTTTTATAAAGAAGATTACTTCATACCTTACAAAAGATTAATTTAATTCAAAAATCAAAGCACGGGAAATGCATGATAAGTAATAGAATATTCTAACTATCTGACACACTCATCAGCCGACCTGGACCAAATTATGAATTTTGTGGAATTAAGTTACCAGAGAATAATCAGCCTACTTACACTTGGTTTTTGAATACTATGATGAAATCCATTTCTGTGATGGGAAAAAAGAAGCTTAGTAAAACCCAAATTCTATTTCTACTTGTTTGGACAAGTTTTTAGGAAATGCAGGTTCGGGTTGTCAGTAGTATCTGAGAGAAGGTCGCATCGCAGATGGTTTCCTTAAAGCCCCAAATAGCTCCTAATAGAAACAATCCTCTGTGGACTACAATTAATTACTTTATTCTTGAAAATAGATCTTCATCCCCTTAGCACTACACTATTTATAACAGAGACCAGATGAGGCCCCCAACCAGCAGCTCACAATCTCCCAACTTCCGTGCAATATAAAGACCAGTAAGCTAGAGATACCCTATCACTGCTAATTTGATAATTTTTATTCATATAACTCAATTAGCCTCAACCTAGAAAATTAGCAGTCACACATACCTGATACCGAGCAAGATAGTGCTACCTAAATCTACAATTCTACATATTAACTGCTACTAATGTTGCATCGATAGTTGCACTCTCCAATAGCCAAAATAAACACTCTCTAATGCTGAATGAATACATAAATTAAGTGGGCATTTCAGATGACAAAGGATTCTTAAAAGAAACCAGAAGATTTATAATATTTGGTTATTAAGTATCACTAAGTTAAGTTTTAGATAAGTCATTACCTTGCCAAATACTTGTGACAAGAGTTGCTGTAGTTCACTACCACCTTTCTTTGAGTTACCTAATTTTATGTGCTTTAGCTACTAAAGGTTTAGAAAACCATAAAGGTAATAAGGAAGCAAACTAAGCAGGGATTATTTAAGAAAAAAATATCAGGTATTCTACTATTTATTTTGTATCTTTCAGGATTAATTCTATGAATTGTCTACTAACCTCCAACAATACATTATGACATCAATGATCAAAATGTTGCTTTTATAATAGTGAACAAGAAAAAGGAATAAGAAAAGAATGGTAATTACGCCTCTCAGATTATAAAATTATATCTATTGAAATAAATAGAAAACAAAGTGGAAGAAGATGAATATAAATTATATAATATAGATAATAACGCACATATGAACACTAGTCTTCGTGAATAGCTATACTACAGAAGAGTGCGTGAACATTGGTTTTCTCACTCCTACTGCAAGAAAAATTGGAGTAAACCGCAAACACGAATAATATATGATGCTTACAACGTCCAGAAGATTAGAATGCCTGTTGTCAAAATGCTGATCAAGAAATTTTTCAGCCCGAAAGCTTTTTCTGCAGTATCCACATTTCCACTCATTCACGTCAAGATGGATTTTATGTTCCTCTTGATCTCTGAAAATATCATTACTTGGATGAAGTCTACACTGCCTAGGAAGCTCATACTTCTCTCTTTCCACAAAGGGCATCAAGTACTGCACAGCACAAAAAGAATAAAAGAACAATTTTTCAGTCCTGTATCTGCAGCAGCTTTATGTTGAGTCCATATGGAGTACTTTTGCAGATACCTCCTCAATAACTTTCCAAGCAGTCCGGCTTCTTTCTCGGGAGCAATGAACTTCATGAACATGTGGCTTGTCGTGTTCAGGACTTCAGAGCATCAAAAACAATAATTCAGATTAGTGACAACTTCAAGGGAATGCACATCTAATATGGAATAATTTTCAAATATATTTTAGTAATACAGTTGAAATCCAGAATTATCTCATACAGTTGCTGAAAAAGAATATAAGGCCTGAAAAAGGGCAAAAACAAGAACATTTAACCATCATACAACTTTTTTTATTTTCTGATAAATTACTATGATACGACTTAACTGCCTCAGAGAAATATCTTTAAATGTATTTTTAAGAGGCTCCTTTTCAGAATAAGAATCAATAAAAGAGAAACAAAATATTACCTTGACGCATGCTGCTCTGTACCCTATGCACAAATAAACAAAAAGTGGTCAGCCAGGAAAATACCAGCTCCAAAAAGTGATTTTTGTTCATAATTTAATTTCCAATACATGCAGTTACATCCACACAAGCCCACAAAAGATTGAAAAACAAAAATAAATTATCACTGATGATTGCAAGTAATCCAAATCGAACATTACTAATAATTCTGCTATCCGTGAAACCAAAAGGTTAATTTAGTTCAAGAATTGCAATATCAGATGTAAGAAAAAGACAGATGAAACCTAATTCCATAGCTTTTTCATTAAAACCCTAACTTAACTGGGAATTCAAAAAGAAAAAAGCAAAATTAAATCAAGAACAAAAATGTATCCCTTCGATCTAGGGCAGAATAATCGTATAGAATATGTTTTGAAAAATAGTTCTTTCTTTTATCAGTACAGAAGCAAAACTTTCGTTAGTCGGTAAACAAATGTAGTTGAAAAAGAGAAGAAACCTGATCTGAGCGAGGAAGAGGTGAAGTTGCGGATATGGATGAAGAGAGGGCAGTGATCAATACAAAAGAAAGAAGAAGAGAACAGGGATTTTTTGCTCGCCTTTGGCGAAGATTCTCCATTCCCCTTCTCTCTCTGTGTATATATCCAAATTCGCAGGGAGTTGCAGGCTTGCAGCTATACGTTCCTCCTCCCGTTCTTGCTTTTGGTGAGACGAGACTTGACTTTTACATTTTTATCAGCTAGTACTTCGGTTTGCTTCTTTTCCATTTCTTTTTCTTGAAAAATATTACTCCTAAGTAATTTACACGACAAATTCAAAAATAGTCATATTTATAATTGGTCGTTCAAAAATAGCCCAATTTCGAAAATAATCGAAATTTAGCCACTTGAGCGAAAACATTGTTCAAAATTCGAAAAATACGCCAGTATATTATGCTCGAGTTCCAGCATAAGTATACTTGAACTTCATCATATTATACTGGAGTTCCAGGATAAGTATGTTGGAACTCCAGCATAATATGATGGAGTTCCAGCATAAGTTCACTACAACTCCAGCATAATATACTGGAGTTCTAGCAAGTATACCGGTCCAGCATAATATACTGGAGTTCTAGCAAGTATACCGGTCCAGCATAATATACTGGAGTTTTGAGCATCGGTGCTCCAGTCTCCAGTATATTATACTGGAGCCAGCAAAGTATATCGGTCCAGCATAATATATTGGAGTTCATACACAGGTGCACCGAACTCCAGTATATTATGCTAGACCGGTCTCTGTTGCAGCAAAATAGTGGCTATTTTTCATTGACTTGGTAAACGCTGGCTATTTTTGAATGACCAGTCCGAAAAGTGGTTATACCGTGCTATTTTTACATAATTTATTACTGTTATAAAATAAAGATCGTAAACTAAATAAACTAAAGACAAGTATAGAAAGAGGTTCATATATTATTCAACTTCAAACTGATATACATAATGAATTGAAAACTTCTCTATTTATAGAAGAAAAGAAGCAGCTGCGAGATTTTTCAGAAAGTAGTTGCAAGACTTTTTCAGGAAGCAGCAGTCAGTTATTTGCAACATGTTTGTTTAATAAGAAGTTGCTGCAAATCATTTCATTGAGTTGCTTGCAACCAGCCTACATCAACTAATTGTAGATAAAGTTCAACAGAGTACTAAATGGATAATCTTTTTCAGGAAGATTATCTATAGCGTAGTAATAAATGGACATACACAATATAATAGTTTCATAACACTCCCCCTTGGATGTTCATTAAAAGATATTGTGCCTCGTTATCATTAAAAACCTTACAAAAAAACCCCATAGGAAAAACCTTAGTAAGGAAAAAAAAGTATAACGCGCATTTTACTCCCCCTAATGAAAATATTATTTCAAATATTTGAGTCTCCGCATTCCAATCTTGTATACCATCTTCGTAATATTTTCCTACTTCAAGAGAAAATTTCAATTGTGTTACTTCTTCAGGAGCAAATTTAAAATACAAAATATTGAGTATATATTCCCTCAATTATATTACAACTTCTGGAGGTGAATTATAATATATTCACATCAAAAGTGCGTTCATATTTACGAGCTTTATTAATATTATCATATTTACTGAAGTGAATGGATTAATATTTATCAAAAGTTCTCATTCTTTAGGGAAAGGAACATAATTATCCAACGTGCATAATCACATCAAATTGTGATACTTCGAACCTATTTTAAGATATTTGCTACTTCATGAGCAAATCGAGGTATGCATATAATATAAAGAATTTTCTCTAACTTATCTTCAATTGTAACCATAAAAGCCTAAATTATCACTCTGGTAATCATAGTCATACCGCTTCTGGTGGTTAATAAAATTTAGTTACAATGAGATATACGAATCATTGCCACTTCTAGCGGTCGTACTCTGCTAGAGTTTAAGTAAACCATAAAATTAAGTCATAACAAGATTTAGAAAAAATTGCCACTATTGGTGGCTATATATTTATTGCAGATTCAGCTGGAGTTTAAGTGGATCCAACAATGTTATCCACTTTGTAATTTTTTTTATAGAGTTGACAACATGATGAAAACAAGTATAAAAAAATAGTTATTATATGCTAATACATGAGCACGTAACATAGAAAGTTGATTCAATATACCATTGCCTTTCTTAGCCTTCAAATTTGTATTTCATATCACAATATACCCGCAAGTCCTGCATCAGTAGTGGCTTAGAATTAGCACGTGATGGACATAGATAATAATCATAATTTTTCAAGCTCATGAAAGAAAACAAATTAAAATTAATAAGCCTTATCTTTGAAAAACGACATAAGAAGGGGATTTCATCTCTTCGTAGAGTTGGAAAATTAACAAAACCAGCGTACTGTTCACCACCCCAAGAATATAATTTTCCTCATAATGCTCTGAATGAACTCGGTTTGACCACGCACAAGGCAGTATGTTGCCTCACAATCATGTAGTGATGATGAAATTAGAGACTCGTGTTGATAACATGTTATAAAATAAAGACTGTAAAGTAAATAAACTGAAGACAAGTATAGGGAGAGGTTGATATATTATTCAACTTCAAACTGATGTACATAATGAATTGAAAAATCCTCTATTTATAGAAGAAAGGAAACAACTGTGAGGCTTTTCCAGAAGCAGCTGCGAGGCTTTTCAGGAAGCAGCTGTGAAGCTTTTCTTGAGCTGCTTCTAAGTTGTCTGCATGAGCTGCTTGCAACCTGCCTGTTTAATAATAAGCTATTGCAAATCATTTCATTGAGTTGCTTGCAACCTGCCTGCATCAGCTACTTGTAGATAAACTTCAACAGAGGACTAAATGAACATCCACAATATAATAGTTTCATAACGATTACCAGCCTAATTTTTTTTAATGTTTATTTTTATTGTTATTTTATTTTTTTCAGGTGAGAGTGAATAATAATAAGGGAGAAAAGGGAACCTTTCTGTTTACTACTAATTGGAATGAAAAACTGACAACTAAACTTAGGCAATCTTTGCATAAATATAGATCTCATCAGAAGTTCGTGGAGTAGGGGGTGCTGATAATTTGATATTTTCAGTCCTGGGACCTGAGGGACGAGGGGGTAGGGGCGTTGATATGGGATTGGTCCTCCTATATGATCTCGGGTTACATAAGATAATTAAATTTTAAAGCCTGCATATCATTCGATTACATAAGATCATTATTTTATTTTATTTTCTCAAGGGTTCAACCCATTGCCGGAGATTTCTCTTGAAAAAATTCAGTATATCTTATACCATGAATTTGCTAATGTTAACAAGACAAGACTATTTTCACTGATACTACCGGTAACCATAAACCATACGACCCTAACAAATAAGTTGAGCCCCAAATTGAATCACATACAGAAAACTAATCAGGGTTAAATTGCAGAGATAATTACATCGAATAAATTCTCCTTTTTGTTCTGCAAAATTAAAATACAGAATAGTAAGCTTGCTCATAAAGATAACTTGGGATCAACTGTCCCACTAGCATTTCCTTCGCCTGTTAGAACATGGTCGGGATCCTGCACAAATAGATATAGCTCATTTGTGATGCAGCACATCAAATAAAAAGCAATACAGACTAGTACTAGCACTTACCTCCATTCCCCATTTGATGTAATCTGGGGACTCACAAGCCTTGTACTCGTCAACTAGACTTTCAATCACATCTCTAGATTCGTCAAATTCTGATAGGTCATTGTCCTGCCCATTATGCATGATAATATAAGAAAGAGGAAAAAGGCTTGAGCAAATAACTGAACATTATGTTACAACGCAACTGACAAAAGCTTCTACAAGAAAGTGCATGCTACTTAAAGCTGGGGTTCTTGGACCCCGCTTTGACAAATCGTTACTAGTTGCACAAGATAAAAGCAAGGAGCTCAACTGGGAGCAAAACACTCAAACTGGAGATCAGACAACAATACACCGTCTTCGTCTGCAACATTGACAGATTGATGCATGCAATCTTTTCTTCAAATCGCCAAGCTTATCTATTGCTGAGGATTTTAACTCCTCAAATAAGGACAATTTTGAGGTTCACCGTACATCCCATCCCCACAAGTCAAAAGATAACAAAGAACACTGTTATATTCTCAAGATTTTGGAGAGTTGTATCTCAGAAAAACCTCATATTACTTTTTGAATTTAGCTCCTTGTTTCTCCATTACACATACAGCTATATTTGTTCTTTAAGAAGAGAAGTATCTCATGACAAAGTAATCCTATGATAATTAACAAAAATGCATCAATCGAACACTTTCTAATAACTTGTCTGTTAGTATCCGCCATCAAGGACATTTCACACTCAAGTGTTCTCTTTTGTCTTCTAAAGACCATACATTCTTACAATGAGAAATAATATTATTTTATTATGCAGCTGGTTAATTATAGAATATCAGCTTCGCATATTCATCAATTAAATCTTAGTTAAGACTCTGAACTTCAGTTATAAACAGAGATGCTCTTTATAATGACAGCAATATGAAAGGAGAAAGAATGTCATAGTTTCTTATAGACATAGATAGATTTCAATGGAGAAATCTCCAGATTCAGCTTCACTTTTGCAGAAACCATGGAGCATGACAAATGTCTGCTCTGTTTTCTTTTTCACTCTCTCAAGTGTGCAAGCAGATTTAGACATTAAAACTAAATCCTCTGGTCGGAATGGGCACTGACTGACCAATAATTAAACTATACACTATGCCACCTTTTATTCGTAGTTAGATAATATCTGAAAGACAGTTGAACAAGAACTTACGGCAAACGTTGGATGATTCCTATAGTTGTCAAGGAAGGCTTGTCTCTTTCTCAATTTATCGTACTGGCTCAAACACTTGCTGAATAAGTGCCGGATGCCAGTATGGCTAGCGAGCATGAGACCACTAACCTGACACATTGAAAATCACACAGTAATATTACATATCTTCGGGAAAGAAACAGCTTTACTCCAAACAACTTTCAGGAAAGCAGATTTACAGTAAAATGTGGAGACGAAGATAGGCAAACTAATCTGGCTTGCCTCAACTGATGCATTTTAGTGATCACGTCAGCTAGTGTCGTAGAGTTTATATTGCCCATTGTAAAAAAATGCGCTTTTCAAACATGAGTAAGTTATAAGCATTTGTTATGTTTGCAACTTCAAAAACCTGTGTTATAGGTCCGTTTTTAAAGTTCAAATATAAACTTTGT